GTCACATAGGACTGGATCCCAAGCCCCAGAAGAGAGAGTGCCTTCTACTAAGTTGCACAAAGATGCTTTATAGGCTAGTAGTAACTTTCTTGAGGAGGCCATGTCTGACGGCTGACACAGAAATGTAAATAAAAACAGCATTTTCTCATAACACAGAAACAAAGAATTCTATTTCCTTGTGTAGAGACTGAGAAAATCAAATGAGAAGGAAAAGATGGAAACGCTTAGTGATGGTGTATAACACAGGATGCAGCTCTAAAGATACCGCGATGTAATGGCACATTGTAAACCAGCGTTGTGGACTGCGAAGGTTGCTCTGCTTCTGTGGACTTTCTTTAGGTACAAAAAGAATGAGATAGAGGAGAGCAGTGGATATCCAATTTTAAGCTTTTTAATAATCACTTGGGGCTAGGGTATAGTTCACTGGTAGAGTCAAGTCCCCGGTCATGGGGCGGGGGGGGAATCACTCAAAGATAGCTTTGGCCTTGCTGCAGACAGCCTAACAGAGAGCAGGTCAAGGTGGGGTTCAAGATTCTATATTTTTGATCCAATATCCCAGATACTCCTGATGCCCATAGTCAGTGACCCAGTGGGGTAGACCTGGCCCTTTCCAAATCCAACCTTCCCTGTTCTCCATGCTAGAGCCGACGGAGTCTGAGACAACAGAAAAATCAGAGAACGACCTCACGACCCCTGACCTGAATGCAGGGACCTTACAGAGGGGCTGGCAGTCACACTTTGTGCTCCTGTCCCCAGATGGGCTTGGCTGGCTCTGGACACTTACCAAATACTCGAGGTCCTGGGATGGTCACTCTGCTGGGGCTGACCCCACCCATTCTCCCACCCCCCAGAGGCCCACCAATGCCCAAACCACCGTCTATGGACCAAGAGGTTTTTCAGGCTAGGAAGCCTCTTCAGTCTAGAAGCGACCAGCTGTGCCAACGGACATGGTCAACGATGTGACCCAGGAATCACAAGACCACCAGGGAAACTGGAAACAACCAAAGAGGAAGAAAAGGCCATAGCTATAGAAATGCGTCAGTCCCCGCCTTGGCCACAGTGGCCTTGCCCAGACAGGGATGTGAGCAGCAGCCGGCCCTCCCTCCTGCTCCCCACAGTTCCCCCTTGCCGTCCCCAGAGCTGTCTGAAAGCTCACGTGGCCAACCCTGACGGAAGCGGAACCACAGGGTGGCCTCGTGTGGCCAATACCTTAGACGTCAGTCGCTGGAAGCCTGGGCAGAGTTCCTTGGCCAGGATGTCCAGCCGTCTAGCAAACAGACCTGCGGGTTCCCAAGCTGCTCTTCGGCCAGTGGGTGGGCCCAGGGATGAAGGGCACGCTCCCTCTCTCTCCATGTTGGAAGGACCCACACTGTGTGGACACGGCCCGGTGCCCAGGGCTTCCTTTGCTCTTCCCAACATCCTGGTAAACAGGAACCGTGGCCCTTCACCATGAAGGAGCTGCAGGCTCGGCAGACTTGTCCCCTTTGCCCAAACGCACACACTCCTTGTTAAAAAGAGCCATGGCTGTAGCAGCTGACTGCTGGGCACTTGCCATGAGTTAGGCCTGCAGGAAGCACTTTTATAGGCTTTTTTTTTTTTTTTTGCTTTTTTGCTTTTTCTGAACAACGTAAACGGTGGATGATACTGTCATCTTCATTCTGCTGATGAGGAAACTAAGGTTCAGAGAGGGCCACACCAGCACTAAGGTGCGGGTGGGAGGGGGTTTGGATTCTACCATCACAGACCTGCATCAGTTCTTTGGCAAACTGGCTTGGAACCCCTTTGTCCTATTTGTGAGCAAATTTAATTGGGTTAAAAAATACAGAGAGTGAGCCCCACTGAGTACAAGGCTATGCGGAGGGAAATAAAACATGTTGGATTTGGTCTTGGCCTTCATGGTCTAGCATGAAAAATGGACCTCAGCAACTCTAACAGGGACATGGATGCTACTATATAAACAAGTAGATTCTGAAGCAGCACTGATATCCAGTGGAAGAGACTGAGAGGTGTCACCCAAGGTGACGTTTAACATTATTTTCTTGTTTTAATGTGGGCAATGAGCCTGCTTCCCAGCACGACCCGATGGGCCTGCACCACTCTGCAGTGGCTCCCAGGCCTGGCTGGCGCTGACTTAACCCCTGGTCCAGCCTCAGGCCCTGGCTACAGCCCCAGGGCAGCCCCTCCACCTCCCTTGGTTTCAGGGCTGAGCCATGATGTAAGCTGCTCTAACCGCAGTGAAGGCCAGGGCTGCTGCCTGGTGGCTTTGAGCTCAGATACTCTTCCCTCTCTCTCCAGGCGGCATATGCCCCCTGTCCTGGATCCACTGCCACAGCCTGGTCACCTGGAAAGCCATCCTAAAGGCAGAACCAGCACAGCCAGGACCAAAAAATCTATGAGGAAAGGGAGCCAGAGCCCAGCAGGAGGCCCAGACGGCCTTGCTCGGCCACTGGACATGGGTCGTGTGTTATTTATCATCTGCAACATCCCAACTGCCCAAGGTCTATTTTTGAAAATATGTGAGGACGCTCATAAAGCGTTCTACTCTTGATATGGTCAAGATCAAGCATCAGTTGAGGGTCTTCTGGTTCCAAGAGACAGAAAAACTAGCCCACACTGACATAAGCAAAGATGGAATTCATCAGCTCAGCGCACGGATTGGCTTTGGGGCTTAGCTGAGTACAGGGACCCAGGACTCAGCTCCCTCCCAGGCCTCTGCTGAGTTCTGTCCTCACCCCAGGTCTGCCTTACTCTCAGCCCTACTTCCCTTCTCAGTTGAAGTGCAGATCTCATGACCCCTTGAGGTCCAGTGGGAAGGGCAACGAGATCATCACGTTAACCAAGGTGATCCCCGGAGTTCCCTGAGTGGGCGGTGGCTGCAGCCCTGTCACTGTGTCCAGGAGCACAGACTCCCCAGGGGACGCAGGCCACTCTCCTGTGATTCCCCGTGGGAGCCCTTGTAGAGGTCAGCTTCCCACAAAGGCGCAGGGCTGACCACAGGCCGGGTGTTCCCCCAGAGCTAAACCCAGCAGCGCAGGAGCAAGCAGAACCAACAGATGTCCCCCCACCCAGTGCACTTGGAACCCCGCAGCCTGCATTCCTGACGTAAAGGGATGTGCAGCAGGTGGTGGAGCAGAGAATTGTGTTTATCGTGACTGAGAGCTCCTTTCCTGGGTTTGCCAGCCTCAAATCAGAAATCATTCCTGTGAGCGGTTTGTTCTTCCTTGGGCCTAGGAGTTCTTTCAACATATTTTCTGAGCAGGACTGAAGATGGCAGACATAGTTACCACACTGACTGAACTAAAAAGCGTGGGATACATTATCTCATTTAACCCTAACTGCTGGCTCATCTGATCTGAAGCAGGGGTGATTTTGCTCCCTGAGGGTCATAGGGCAATGTCTGGAGACAGTTTGGGTTGTTACAACTCAGTGGTGCTGCAGGAACCCAGTGGGTAGAGGCCCTGAATCCTGCTGGACACCCTTTAGGGCACAAGCCGCCTCCAAAAGCAAAGAATAATCCATGGCACCCAGGTTAGGAAACAAGTCACGATGCCCTCCCCATTTTTATGGATGAAGAAGAATGAAGCTTCAAAAAATTAAGCCACTTGGCCAGGTTTCTGCACTGTAAAAAGTAGTAGGGTTGGACTTTTAATCCAAAGCCCTTGCTTTTATCTGCTGATTATTAAACTTGGCATTGGAACTCAGTGTCCCTTCCTCCCCCACCCCCATATTCTGGTTCTGTGGCCTGGGGGTCCAGGAATTGGTGTAACGAGTCTGCAGATGACAGCAATGGAAGCAGCTAATTCCCAAGTGTTTGGAAAGCCCTGCGAGGACACAGGCTGGGCACGCACTGGTGCAAGGTTGTGTGGGCACAGGAGCACGTCTCTGGAGATTCCCTGGGGATAGAAGGCACAGCTCACTCCTCCCGTCTTTCCATCGATTTCCCCTCTGCTCAGAAGCCCTTTGGCTCCCTCTTTTCTGCTTCCCGTCCATCCTCCAAGTCCTTAGGAAGCCCTCTCTGCTCAGTCTACCCGAGATCTTCCAACACCCTGAACAGAGCTCCACTCATCACACAGTGTATAATTAGCAGTTGACATGGCTGTCTGGTCTCCTGGGCTGTAGGCCACCTGAAGATGGAACCCACGTCCATGCTGCTCTGTGCAAAGCACAGAGCCTAGCAGCAGGCCATTTGTCCCCAAATTGCCATTTGCTACTTGCTTATTCCAGGAGTTAACAAACCATTTCTGAGAAGTGTCACATAATGAGTTATTTTAGGCTTTGAATAGGTCAAAGCCATGACCATAGGTCATCACAGATACTTATTCTGCTGTTGTAACACAAAAATCGGCATAGAAAATATATGAGCGAATGATCTTGGCAGTAGACCAATAAAACTTTATTGACAAAGCATCTGTGGCCAGATTTGACCTGTATGCATCTGCCTGTTGGAACAACCAACCATCCATTAGTAAGTCCTTGTGTTTAGATGTGCAAATTGCTGTGAGCAATCCTCAAAATATAGCTGTGTTTCTTAGCCACCCCTGAAATGTGGGCAGGTGAACAAATACTGGCCAAGGAGAAGCATGATTTGGGTGCCTCAGGAGGCGGTTCTTAAAAAGCTGCTTCATTTGGAAAAGGCTCTTTCCCCACCTTCTTTAAGAAGTCCCAGGTGGAAGGAAGAGCAGGGAGACAGGAGCCCAGACCCTGGTGACACCAAGGGACTCCATACCAGCCCTGCAAGGCCAACCTGAAGACTTGACTGTGAGAGAAAAATAACCAGGTCTTGGGCCGCTGGGGGTGTCCGTGTCCTATGAGCAGCAGAACCTGGCCTTAACTGCACATGGGCAGGTGGAAACACTGAGCAAATATTTGACTAGCGAAAGGGCTGCCCGGGGCACACAGGATCACAGAGGAAATGAAGGCTGCCCTGCAGGCGGGAGGGTGGGCGGGTAGCCATGGAAACAAACACACACCAGGGCTTCCCCCACTGGTGGTTAGGATGACTCACGTCTCCGCCAGCTCTCCTGGGGCCCTCTCCTCCTCCCGCCAGGGGCCTTCCTTTTTTGGTGCCTGCCATCACCTTCAGGGGCATCCCTCCTCCCCAAGGTCATCCATCACGGAGAACTCCATTTCCTGCAGTGAGTGCCCCATTCCTTGACATTTTAAAGAGGTTTTACTCGCTGAACCCCAAGAGGGAGCAGACTGGAGAATCGCCCACATAACAAAAAGACCGGAGGACATGAAAGAGGTCCTCATGGTCACCGTCACGGATTTGGGTGTCTTTCATTGTCAGCATGCAGGTGGCCGAGGCTGAAGGGCGGCTCCGGCCACAGACAAACCTTGATTTGGTTGATGACTGGGTCACCTGGCAGTGGCAGTGGTCAGCATCAGTTTCCCACACTGCAAAATAAATCAGTAACAACCTTCTCGTAGCCATGCTGTGGGGACAAGCGGAGCTGGGGAAGGGACCTGGCACAGACCGGGGGTGAACTGTATTCTGGAAACTTCCCTCCACCTGCCGTCCTGCTGAGGGGGACTAGGGTAGGGTAGGGTGATGGGTGGGGGCTGTGGAAGGGCAGAGTCCTCAAGCCCCCAGCCTTCCCCCTCCTTCCTGTCCTGCCTGTCCCCACAAAAGGGTGCCTCCTTTTTCTTCCCCCACCCTACTGTAAACTCTTGCAGGACAATCCTTGGCATCAGCAACCCCCTGCCCCTGGTGTGCTTCACACACACAGCCTCACTGGAGTCCTGCGTGAACATCCAGTGCCACAAGGACATTCTCTATGTCACACTGCTGGTCACGTGCTTTCATTTTCAGGTGAAGGTGGCCTTGACACTGTCTGCAGGGGAACAAGTGGTCACGGCACACCCCAATCCCACAGGCCTTTTCCATAAAGGTGGTAGCTTACAAATGCAAAATAGTCCACGTCTCAGGAGAGGTCTGGGGCAGCCATCAGCGCCACGCAGGGGAAATGAACGACCCAAAAAAAGCTGCCAGGATCCCGCGGCAGCCGACGTGGGAACGGACCCCGCGGAGCCGCTGCTCACGAGGCTGTAAACTTAACACGGCTTCCCATAAACGGTGTCAAGGAACAGACGTAGGCGAGCTCCAGAGAGAGGGCCAGAGAAGGGGACCTGCAGGTGACAGCTCTTCCAGAGCGTCCTTGGCAGGGCCGTGACAGTCAGTCTGTCATTTCGTGATACCTGCTGAGCCGCGCTGTGTACCAGGCATCCACGAGGACACCTGGAACTCAGTGGAGACAGCCCTGGGCTCTGCTCGTCCACAGCTGACATTGCAGGGCTGGAGGGACAGCACCCTAGGAGTTCTGGAGTGGGATCGCCTCTGTAGGAACCTGGCTCCAGCCCCCCAGGATGATCTAGACGAATGACTTCACCTGCCATACCCCAGTGTCCCCACCTGCACAACGTGGGTACTAATAGCATCCACGGTGGGGGTCAGGAGGAGACCCATGTGAGAGGACACGCGTTCCTTCCAGGTGGCTGCTTCTGTCATTCGATGCTATGCAAGCCAGAGGGCTGAGGGGCCTAGCCTCGAGGACTGACCACAAAGGCTCCGGGTTGCAGAAACAGACACGAGGACGCCCGCAAGCCACACGTGCAGTGGGTGGAAGGGTCTCCCCTTGGACCCAGGCCCAGGGTTCTGATCTGACCTCTGGCCTCTGGCCTCATGATGGGACCTGTGGGAACACAGCTCCACAGGCTGAAACATAAAGCAGAGCCCCCGTCACATGAACACCAGTGTCTCCTGGCTGTGGCCCAGAGGAAGTCGAGGTCACAGAGGCGGGGATTGGGGGGCATCCAGGCCTGAAGGGCAGCTCCAGCTCCACAGCCCAGCTGCACCCCACTGACTCTGTGACCTGAGCAGATGGCATGGCTTCTCCTAGCCTCATCTCCTTCCCTGTGGAATGAGCTCATGGGAGACGCTCTCCAGGTTCACGTGAGGACTGAACGCTCACAGAACGGTGGCTTCCTCCTGTCCACGACTGTCCAACCTCACGCCCAGCTGACGGGCCTCACTCCACCTCAGCTCCTGCACGTGGACTTTATCTGCCGGCTGCTCAAGGCTGCCTGGAACATGAAGGGCACTGTTGTCCTGGATCCTGGCCTGGGAGACACAACTGGGCCCCTTTCTCTTGCTGTATCTCGGCTCTGCACCTGGCACCTGCCTGGACAGTCTTCTGAGGATTTGGCTGAAATAGAGGGCATGTCACCGTTATCGAGATGTGAACTTGACAAGCAGGCAACCTGTTTTTTAAAGAAAACATGAATCACACATTTTATTTATAAAAGCAACCTAACAACACCATTAGGCAATTTTTAATAACAGCTTTATTGTTGTACATTTACTACTCTAAAATGAACCCTTGAGAGCTCACAATTCAGTGGTTTTTAGTCACTGAGTCGTACCATCATGACCCTCAGTTCCAGAATATTTTCATCACCCCCAGCAGTCACTCCCAATGCTCCTCCCCACCCCACCCTCACCCCCAGCTTGGGGCAACTATTAATCTACTTTCTGCCCCTGGATCTGCCCATTCTGGACATTTCGTGGAAATGGAATAATGGCATACGGGTCTTTTGTGTTTGGCTTCTCTCAGCACGATGCTTTCAAGGTCCATCCATGCTTCAGCATGGAATAGCACTTGGCTTCTTTCATGGTTGTATAATATCCCATCAGGGGGACCTAACACGAGGTTTAGCCACCTGTGGTTGATGGACTTTGCTGACAATCATGAATAATGCTGCTATCAACGTTCACGTCCAGATTTCTGGGTGGACACGTTTCCTGTCGTTTGGGGCCCACACTTGGCATTGGAGGTGCCACACCAAACAGGAACTCTAGGCTTAACTCTTTGAGGAACTGCCAAGCTGTTTCCAAAAAAGACTGCAAAATTCTTATTCCTACCAGTTATATATGAGCCTTCTAATTTCTCTGCATCCTTGTCAAAATCTGTCATTGTCCATCCTTTTGATTATTGCCTTCCTAGGGGGTATTCGGTAAGTTTTCGAAGAGATTAAAAAAAAACCAAAACTCACAATTGTTTCTTCGCAGGGCTGAGAACTATGCCTGACACAGAGTATCAATATGCACTTGTTAGGAAATTAAGTGCTCTGTCATCCCAGATGATCATTTTCACTTTATTTAATTTCTGTCTAATCCGTCTTCATAACACAGATCCCATAGTCATTCCTAAGTTTGCATATAATTTCTTGCTTTTTCACCTATCATTCATTTTTAAATATCCTTATGTGTCCACACATTGTGCATTTCTGCACAATTATTGCATTGTTTGACCAATAGTTCCTGCAGAGGATGCAGTATAATGTACTAAACCACCGCAGAGTTAGCTTCTTCCACTCTTTCAACTCTAAGATGAAATTTTGCAAATTGGGGGAGAGGAGCACTTCTTTGGCAACATTTTTCAGAATCCCAGATGAGTAGAGAAGGCAGACAGAAACTAAAACCCAAACCAAACCACCTGTATTGGGTTCTCCAGAGAAACAAAACCAATAGGGTGTGTGTGTTTGTGAGTATATAAGGAGATTTATTACAAGAAATTGGCTCATGGGATTTGGAGGCTAGAAAATTAGTGAGCCCAAATCTGCAGGGTGGGCTAGTAGGCAGTGGGCCAGGAGAGTCTAGTGGGCCAGGAGAGTCTGATGTAGATGAAGTCCAAAGGCAGTCTTCGGGAGAATTCCCTCTTCTTCTGGGAGACTGGGTTTGGGGTAAGTCAAGCCTTCATTTGATTAGATAAGACCCACCCAACATAATGGAGGGCTATCTGCTTTACCCAGAGTTCACCAACTTAAATGGTATTCTCAGCCCCAAATATCCTCCGAGTTAACATGTAAAATTAACCATCCCAATGCCTGAATGGATTCCATTGTTTGCTTTTTTTTTTTTTTTTTTTTTTTTTTTTTGGTACTGGGGATTTAACCCAGGGGCACTTAACCACTGAGCTACATCCCCAGCCCCACCTCTTTTTAAAAAAAATATTTTATTTAGAGACAGGGTCTCACTGAGTTGCTTAGGGCCTCACTAAGTTGCTGAGGCTATATTTGAACTTGTGATCCTCTTGCCTCAGCCTCCTGAGCTGCTGGGATTACAGGTTTGCACCACCACACCTGACTCTGTGATTGTTTCTTTATTGTCATCAATAAATCACCTGAGAGTCTGACCTGCTTATAAACCACACCATTTAAGCTTCTTTGCTGATGCAAAGGCAAACTTGAATAAAATGAACAGAGTACAAGGGACCATGAAATGAAGACTACTAATTTCTATTAGGATGACCAGACTTTGAGTCAGCTTTTTTGACACTGGGACCAAAAGATCTGACAAGAACAATTTTAAGGAGGAAAAATTTATTTGGGGCTCACGATTTCAGAGGTCTCAGTCTGTAGAAGTTTGGCTCTGTTGCTCTGGACCCAAGGTGAGGCAGAGTATGGCGCCAGATGAATGTGATAGGGGAAAGCAGCTAGGGACATGGCACCAGGAAGCAGAGAGAGAGAGAGGTCCCTCACCAAGAAGAAAACATAAACCCAAAGGCATACCTCTAAGACTCACCTCCTCCAGCCACACCCTACCTGCCTTCAGTCACCACCCGGTTAATCTCCAGGGGATCAGTGCACTGATTAGGTTAAGGCTCTCATGACCCAACCATTTCTCCTCTGACCCTTTGTGCAGCGTCTCACAAATTTGCTCTTGGCGACACCTAACATCCAAACCATAACAACCACATTCCAAGCAAACAGAATCTTATGAGCATTTGTGTGGCCCTCACCATATGTCACTACCTTTTCCTAGGACTCCTGCCTCAAAATCTCACACCCCCTGATGGCAAGGACTGTGCCCAGAACCCTGGCACAGCTCACGGGCTCACCAGTTACGTGCTCAGCAAGTTTAGGTCCCTACGTTATTTCTAGATGTCTGTAGTGTCCCACCGGTGCCTGCACAGCCCAGAGCCTCGGTGCAGTCTGGCTTGCACCTGGCTGCAGCAGCCCCAGCCTGAGCTGTTCTCCTCCTGGCAAAGTGGGATTTATCGAAGCTGTTTTAGCACACTGTGCAGGAATTCTGGGCTGCTTCACTGCATCAGCAGGAGAGAACAAACCCTCTAGAAACTTCTTTCTCTGGAAAGATCACTTGGGTAGCACCTAGATCCGGGAGGTGGGGAAGGAAGAGGACGGTCAGGACAGGCAGCCTGTACCAATCTCCCTTCCTAGGGTCCGACTCACTTTTCCCACCCTTCCTGAGTTCTCATATCTCCTGAGGAGAGAGTTGCTGGGGGACAGGGAGGAGGCCAGCAGAGATAAGAGAAGGAAAGTTCTAGATAAATAAGCCTTGCTTCTAGTTCCCTTGCACTGTCATTCCTGGACAGCCTTTTCCTGACCTCTCCAGCCAGGCCTCCCAGCTCAGCTCAACCAAGTCCCTCACTGCTCTTCTTTTGTAGAGGGTCTGCCTTCTGCCTCTCGGGATCCCACCACACAGCCTCCTGGCTCTGCGTCTGCACTGCAGATGTCACACTCTCCTGCAGCAGCGTGCAGTGTGCTCTTTATAACACCCGGACCACTTTTACCCTTTGAATTTTTCGAATATAAAATTGACATATACTTATGAAAACAATTCAAGTCACACAGAAATGCTTCCCACAGAAGGTGAACCTCCCTCTGCTTGCTCTCTTGCGATAGCGGCCGCTGATGATTGCTTCTGTGAATTCTTCCAGTTTCTATACACACGACAATGAAGTAGTGTCACTAGCTGGCTGAGCAGGTCACGTTTCACCTGCATGATCTAATTTAATCCTCACAACAATCCTTCCTGACATAGGGCTATTAGGCTCCTTTTTTTTTTTTTTTTTTTTGCTACTGGGGATTGAACTCAGGGACACTCGACCACAGAGCCACATCCCCTGCCCTATTTTGTATTTTATTTAGGGACAGGGTCACTGAGTTGCTTAGTGCCTCATTTTTGCTGCGGCTGGCTTTAAACTTGAGATTCTCCTGCCTCAGCCTCCTGAGCTGCTGGGATTACAGGTGTGCGTCACTGTGCCTGGTTATTAGGCTCCTTTTGACAGAAGAGGAAACTCAGGCTCACCGAGCAGTGGGGAAAATGAAACAATACAAAACAAAAACTTGCCCAAGGTCCAATTCAGAAAGTAGTTGAGTGTGGTTCAAATCCCAAAGTTAGGACTAGAACTTGCTTTCTTGGATACTCTGCTATTTATTATTTCTCAACTTCGGAGGAATAATATACATCTGATTTGTAGCTTATTTCTATACTCTGTATTATTTCAAACTAGTGCTTATGGATGCAATTCTTTTTTCTCTTTCTTTTCTTTTTCTTTTTGGTGATACTGGAGATTGAAGCAGGGCCTCTCCCATGCTAGGCAAGTGCTCTACCACTGAGCTACACTCCCAGCCTGCTATTATTATTGTTATTTTTCTAAATTTTGAGACAGGGTCTCTCCAAGTTGCCAAGGCTGGCCTTGAACTCGGTATCCTCCTGACTCAGCCTCCTGAGTTGCTGCAAGGTGTTAACCCATAGCACTGCCCAGTAACAAAATTTCAGAGATTTCACATAATTGGCATTATGTGTTTGAAATGAGTGTGTGTTTTGCACAACACAAAGTATCTATGAATATTTGGGGGAATAGTATGTATATAAATGAGCCATTTCTCTGATTTATAATGAAAATAAATAAAGACCAGCCAAATGAGAAAAGCAAAGGCTATTTCTTCCTTTGTCATAGTGAGGGAATTGGCCACCAATCTCGTGTTCTGGTGGAGCCTTGAAGGCACCCAGGGGGATGGGGAAGCTTAGGAAGTGCCCCCGTGGAGGCAGTTGGCATGGGGCAGCTATCACTAGAGGCTGGGCATCCTATGTGATCAGTGAAGGTGGTATATCTGGCTTCCTCTGGTTGGTCCTAACTTGTGAGTGGTGACAAAGATTCGGGAAGCTGCAGCTATTAATCATATCCTGGCCACTTGGGGCCAGTTGTTGCAGAAGTTATTGTCTGGAGTCCTAGATTGTGACTAGAGATGGCCAACTGGCTCCGTTCAGCCCTGAAATAATGCAGCCTGGCCTCCTGGTGGGGGCTTCCTAGGCAAGTGGCTACAGATGGTGGATAAAAATCTATTTTTCTATAAGGTCTGGCCATCACCATTTGTCTGTTCAGTCTCTTACTACACAAATCATCTTAGTTCTTTTTTCTTTTTTCTAGTTGTAGTTGGACACCTTGCCTTTATTTTATTTATTTATTGTTATGTGATGCTGAAGGTCGAACCCAGGGCCTCGCACATGCTAGGCAAGCGCTCTACTGAGCCACAACCCCAGCCCCTTAGTCCACTTTTCTTTGCTACAATTGAACTCCACCCATGAAGTAGTTTTAAAGGATGCAGCTTTGTTCAGTTCATGGTTCTGGAGACCCAAATGCCCAACAAATACATGAAAAAAAAAAGTTCAACATCATTAGCAATTCGGGAAATGCAAATCAAAACTACACTAAGATTTCATCTCACACCAGGACAATGGCAGTCATCAAGAATGCAAACAATAGTAAATGCTGGAGAAGATGTGGAGAAAAAGGAACACTTTTACACTGTTGGTGGGATTGTAAATTACTACTACCACTACTATGGAAATCAGTATGAATCTTCCTGAAAAGACTAGGCATTGAACCACCATATGACCCAGCTATACCACTCCTTAGTATTTATCCTGAAGAATTAAAAGCATCTTACTACAATAATACATGCACACCCATGTTTACAGCAGCACAATTCACAATAGCCAAACTATAGAACCAGCCTAGGTGTCTGTCCACAGATGCATGGATAAAGAAAATATATATACACAATGGAATTTTATTCAGCCATAAAGAAAATTGGATTATGGCATTTGCAGGAACACGGATAAAACTAGAGATCATCATGTTAAGCAAAATAAGTCAAACTCAGTTTGTAAGGTTGTATGTTTTCTCTCATATGTGAAGACTAGAGAGGAAAAAAGAAAAGAAAGGAGGGTGTAGATCTCATGAAAGTCAAAGGGAGATGAGTAGAGGAAAGGGGTTAGGAGATGAGAGGAGTGGAGGGAGGGAAGAAGGGCCGGAGAGTGATCTCCAGCAAATTATATTGTTATTATTCTGTGTGCATGTATGAATATGCAACAACAAATCCCATCGATATGCACAACTATAATGCACCAATAAAAATAAGTAAATAAGTAAATAAAACATGTCAGAATATCTGCTCAATAAAAATTTCACATACAATATTTTATACTCACCTAAAATTTTTTTCAACATGAGTTTTGGTAGGAATGTCCAAACCATAGCCCAAGGCTTTCTGGTTCACAAGGATGTAAGGATCTCTTACAGTGGATTCCATGGAGGACCCTCTCTTCACAGTCCACAGAAGGGAAACCATTGCTTTAAAAAAAAATCAGAATGTAATGCTGGCTGTACCCCAGGACTTGGCTGCTCTCGAGGGGGAGCAATCTTGCTCAGAATCCTGTGCCGTCAGGGCCAGGTATTTTGCCAGGTGGAAAACGGAGTCCTTCATTGGTGTGTGCTCCTCTCCTGGATGAACGGAGTCCCACCTGGTAATTTTAGTTACGATGCACTGGGAAGATGCTGAGAGGTGTTCTTAGCAGAAATTTGAAAGGCCAGGGACGTAGCTCAGTGATACAGCATTAGCGTGAAGGAATCCCCAGGTTCCATCCCCTCACCAAGAAAGGAAGGGGGAGGATTTGAAATCAAAAGTCCAAGGGTCTGGCTCCATGCCTTTGGGAAGTGAAGCTCCTAACAGGGTGTCCTTCTAGAACATGAGTCCAGGGGTGACCCTTTCCAGCCAACCCCCTGAGATTTCTTCAGGATCTGTGAAAACATTTCAGAAATTGGGCTATTATGCAAATAAGAATATTACCAGGATTATAGAAATGTTATTGCCTGGAATTCAGCATTTTAAGGAATCCATTAAAGGGATGGTCCTTTTAACAACCCGGCCCCACCCCCAGCCCATGGCATTGTTCTCAAACAGGAGGGAAGCCTCCTTGATCAGGTCTTTAAAACAGCACACAATTTTCAAGTGTGATTCAATGAATCATTTCTGTCGAAATCACAATGTCCCTTTGGATTGTCAGCTTGTTGAAAGCCTTTGCATCTGGAGGGGCTGCCCTGAGCCCCTGCTCCTCCTGCAAGCAGATCAAATGTCCTCTGGGGAAAAGCAGTGGTTAATGGCAAAATGAATTAGTGGCAAGTTGGGAGACAGAGCCGAATGGTTACCCAACACACGGTTACGTTCTGCGCACCGAGGTGGTCCAGTAATGCACCTAAATGGGCCTTTCGCAAATTGAATCAAAACGGGGGAGATTGCTATTTAAAAGACCCTGGGGGGAATTACTTGATAAAAGATCTTTCCATTTTCATGAATGAGTCCCCTGATACAACTGCTTTTTCTAAATTTGAATTTTTATAATCCAGTGTTCAAATTATTATCAGAATAGTTCTTATAATGATAGTAGTTAAAAAGATCCATCTGTTACATAAAATGGCATTCAATATACATTTAACCTGCACACATCCTCTTGGATGCTTTGAACTACCTCTAGATTACTTAGGATCCCAAGTAAAAGTGCATGCTATATAAACAGTTATTATAGTGTGTTGATTAGGAAACAGTGACAAGAAAAAGTCTGTACATGCTCAGGACAGATGCAATTGCTTTTCAAGTATTGTCAATCCATGGTTGAAATCTCCAAATGCAGAACCTGAGGATATTGGGGTTCTGTACCCCAGTTGTATGGCTCCTGACATGGTCTCTCTGAGAGTTGATGTCTAAAGAGAGTTGGTGCCGTTAAGTATAGGTTCCATATCAAATTCAACAGGGGAGGATTTCAACTCAGGATCAAGAAAATATTTCAAATAAGTAGTTTCGACCAAAAGGAGATTGTTTTTTTGCCGTTTTGAGTGTTGATCTCCCTTTCAGAAAAGTTTAGATTATGGGGAACACTTATGTTCATTTTAAAATTGGGCTTGAATTTGTTCTAGAAAACACAAGTGTGTGTAGAGCAGGTGTGAGATGGGAGGCCTCTCCTCCTTCAACAGGGTTAGGTTAACATAGCATTCAGGTAAAATAAATGAAAACAAGTTGGTGGGGTGGGGGAGAGCCTCAGTGGGAAGCACAATTGGGAAGACCAATGGGGACCAAGGGATCAGGCTGCCTGCTTTGTCTAGTGCAGGTGGATCCAGATCTGGCCATTTGTCTGTGTTTGCATATTTACACATCAAGGTCAGCCAGAGCTGTATTGAGCACCATCTCACAGGGGACCTTCTTCCTTCACTGTGGGTGACCCTTGGAGTCACTGCCCAGAGCAGGGCACGCTAACCTTGGTTTCCAGCTGTCTCTGAAACACCAAGACAGACACCCAGACAGACTTACACATCTAAATACTGGAAGCAAAGAATGCAGAGAAGCTACAGCCACGGCCTCGAGTTCAGTCATAGTCACAAGGGAGACGCATCTGAACTCACCTGGAAGGGGACAACCCTGTCATTTTACATAGGAGGAAAAGGAGGGCCTAGACACTCTGACTCACCTGCCCAGGGGGCAGCTCCAATCTCCTCTGGCTCCTGATGTGCATCAGCCGGGACATGATTAGGAAGGGTCATTCCTGCCTTGAGGACAGGGAGCCAGCTGGGTGATGATTGCCACCACCTTTGAAGGGCTGGATAGGATCGCAGGTGGGGTCATTACCCCTGCAGATGGAAGGGTTCCCTGCATACCACCTGCTTGTACTTGTTCGTGGCCGCTGACCACTTGTGACTGCAAAGATCGCCACTGAGCTCAAGTTCTCAAGTCTCCATTTGCTCAGGCTGGGACAGGTTCTTAATATTCAAAGCCAACAAACCCATTATTAAAAGTAAACAAGAACTGCTTCGAAACAATTATCTCTTGGCTCAGAGGTCTAAATTCACCCCTACTGCCCTGAGCAACCCCCCACTTATTGTCAGGGGGAACGCCCCCTTTCCTGAGTGCCTACTGCAGACCGGGCTCCATAACTGTGTTCTCCCTAAACACCCAGAGTTAGAAATGAGCAGGATAAGCCGGGCGCAGTGGCACATGCCTGTAATCCCAGTGGCTCCAGAGGCTGAGGCAAGAGGATTGCATGTTCAAAGCCAGCCTCAGCAAAAGCAAGGCACTAAGCAACAGTAAGACCCTGTCTCTAAATCAAATACAAAATAGGGCTGGGGAGGCAGGTCAGTGGTTGACTGCCCCTGAGTTCGATCCCTGGTACCCGCCCCCCCCCAAAAGAGAAATGAGCAGTATATTTTTCATTTTTCCAGTGATGTTGTGGGTAGGCCACATCATTTGTTCAAATTTGAAACATGGAAACACCAGAATTTGAACTCAAGCCCGTAAAACTCCTAAGCTTACCTTAGCACACTGCTCCCACCAAAGATAGGTCCCCCATGCCTCTGTTTCTATTTTTTATTTCAAAGAAAAACGTAAGACCCAGAGAAGGAGGCCTGCTGTCTACCCAGGTAAAGCCTATTGAAATTGCAGTCCCTCTGGTAGGGCTGCTGGGGGCAAAATCGTGGAACCTCTGATGACTTAAATGTGTGAAGTGGACAGAGAAAAGACTGTATAAATGCCAAACTGCTGGGGCTCAGTTTGGCCCTAATTCCTAATTCTAGTACTATAATGGACTCTGCTGTCCGAAAAAAGCCAGAATGCAGTACAAAGTTTGCAGCACAAGATCCAGAATCATGGCCTTCCCAATGAATTTAGAATTAAGCTGACCCTCAGTGATAGACTTATGCCAATAAACTTATAAGAGACTGATATATAGTCAGAATTTTAATCAAATACAACAGAATCCTGTTTATCTGGGAGTCTTATGTTAGAGGCATCTAAATAATGGCATATTCTAAAAAGAAATTTTTTTTTAAAATATTTATTTTTAGTTTTCGGCGGACACAACATCTTTGTATGTGGTGCTGAGGATCGAACCCGGGCCGCACGCATGCCAGGCGAGCGCGCTACCGCTTGAGCTACATCCCCAGCCCCTAAAAAGAAATTTTAAAATCTATTAAATCGTGCCATTGGAAAAAAATCAATAAATAATTTACTATGGGTACAAAGGTTGGCAATGGAGAGATTCACTATACCACCAATGACTAGCTGGAGACAACAGATCAGACAAATCTTTTGATGTTGGTGGATGGTGTCAACTCTTACGAATAGATTGACCATGACTCCGTTATAGTTATTTCATGTTCTAAAAAACCTGTGCAGAATTTAAAAAACACTCACTGGAAAATAGTCTGGCAGTTCCTTAAAAGGTTACCCAGAGATTTTCCATGTGACCCAGCAATTCCACTATAGATACATACATCCAAAATGATTGAAAACATACCTCCACTCAAAAATTCATAGGTGAATGATCACAGCACCTGTTTTCAAAAAAGTGGGAGCCAAAAAGTAGAACCAATTCAAATAGCCATCAACTGGTGATTGGATGAACAAAATGTGGCATATCCATTCAGTGGACTATTATTCAGCCATAAAAAGTAATGAAGTGCTGGCCCTTGCTAGAAATAGATGGACTTTGAGAACATCACGGGAAGTGGAAGAAGTAAGACATGGATCACAGTGTAAAAACCCACTGATATGAAATGTCCAGCAGAGGCAAACCTACAAAGACAGAAAGTACATCAGGGGCTGCCTAGGTCTAGGGGACAGGGACATACAGGGAGGTGGGGATGACTGCTACTAAGAAGGGGGTTGGCAGGAGTGGGAATGAAAATGTTCTAAAGATGATTGTGGTGATGGTCATACAACTCTGTGAACATAGTGAATATCACTGAATTGTATATTTCAAAAAGTGCATTTTATAGCATATGAATTATATCTCAATATAACTTAAAAAAATAAAAGGAGGGGCTGCGGTTGTGGCTCAGCAGTAGAGAGCTGGCCTAGCATGTGTGAGATCCTGGGTTCCATCTTCAGCACACATAAAAGTGAACTAATAAAATAAAGGTATTGTGTCCAACTACAACTAAAAAAATAAATAAATAAAAGGAAAGGAAAACCACTTACCAATGAGCAGGAAATACTCAGACTGAAGGTCTTCCATGCTCCCCTGTGCCCCCCCCCACCCCCACACCCGTGCTCTCCATCCTTCTGCTTTGCTTTCTTTCTCCTGAGACTGTTCCAAGTGGACTGGGCTATAACGGGTGCCCTTGCCTGGATGATCTAACTATTTACTGTCCAAACTGGGACACATTTGAGGAAGAATTGGGGGGTAAATCAAATCCTCCTGGGCACACCTCCAGAGGGGCAGGCTGGCTGCATGGCCCCGTGCAGGGCTGGGAGAGCTACAGTGCCTGCCACGTGGCCCTCCTGCAGCTGCCTCTGGGGTCCAGCCTCCCCGCCTCCTTGCTTTCCAGGCCCAGAGGTGGTGACTGCCCCTCACCCACCAGCACGCCTGCAGTCTCCTGGTTTCCCTGAACCCAGCCCATGTCTCTGCAAACGGTCCCTTTCTTAAACTTCCTCCATCACCCAGTTTGACTGGGCCATCTGTTTCCTGCTAGTCCCCTACTGACACAAAACTTCAAATAAACAGCCCCCAAGATAACTTTGAAAGGAAAGGTGTGGTCAGCACAGTGACACTGCTATGCTCTCCCCCAAGAGCCGTTGTCCTCACCCTCCTTCAGTTTCTGCAGATGTTGGTTTTATCAAATTCTGATAATAAAAGATTTTACCACCTCTCTCTGGGTGCCTTTTGCCCTCCGCTTGAGCCCAGACCAGGACTATCAAACCCCAGCAACAGGATGTGACAGTAAATACACTTTCATTTTCTTTCATTGCCGTCCACAGTTCTTTCCCCCCACTTTGAAGGAGACGAGTGGACAGCACAATTCGTCATGTTCAGCATGAGAAGTCAGGATGAGAAAGCACATTCAACTGGATCAAAATTTGCTGTGCTTCCTAAGACAGATGGATTTATGTATTTCATCAATTCTAGAAAATTCTCAGGCAGTATCTTTTGGAATATCTACTCTCTTCCCCGCATTCTCTCTAGAAGCAGCTCTGTTCTCGTCATGTCCTCCTTATCCCCCAACCTCTTTCCCCCTATTTTCTATTCCTTTATTTCTTTGTGTTTTCTTCTGATCTTTCTGATTGAAAATTCTCTTTTCAGCTCTGTCCCTTCAGTTCTCTAGCTTGTCTGTGCAAGTTCAAGTACACATTGTAATTTCCGTGCCCCTGTGTTGTTCATTTCTAGACTTTCAGTTTGATCTTTTTTTTTTTTTTATAGTGCATGTCTTCTTTTCAGGGTGTCTTGCATTTTTGTCTTCTTTGATGTCTGAATCATTTTGAATCTACTTAGTATCTCTTTGAGACCTCTTGATTATCTCCAGGTCCTGTGGGTTGACTCCTGCTCCTAGTTCTGTCTGCAGCTTCTGAGCACAACGGGTGGACGGTTTCCTTGTGTGATTTATAATTTGTGAACTCATCACTGGGGTCTTTGTCTGTGGGAACCTAGAAGGACTTGTGGAGGGTGCATCTCTTAGAGCCATTGCTTAGTTGTGCTTTCTGGGTTTTCTGCTTTATTTTAGGCCAGTAACACTTTTTTGACATTAATTATCATCTTGGGTACTTTGGCTCCAATCAAGGGAAGGGAAGCATCAACTTTCAGGTACTGGAGGTTTTCAGATTCACCTGGCTGTCAAGGAGCACCCCGCTTCTTTCTCATTGGCTCTCTCGTGTATTTGGAAGGATTCTGATTACAATTACCTACTGTCTCTGCATGGCTGCCGCCCAAGTGACAATTTATAGAATTGGTGACAACTAGAAGTCCCCTTTTCATTGCATTTACATCACATAATGTTGGGTTTTGAGTAATGTGTAGTATTTTCTATTTTTATATAAACTCAGATGCCTCTGATGGATTTGAAATAATCAGATGTTTCTCAATTGCTTCACATAATATGTAAATGTTAAGGTTTTCTAAAATAATATGCATTTCATGCCCTTTGATGATCTCTACTCAGAAGCCACATCTTACACACAAATGATTCCTTTTCATTGTGCTCATGTGGAACAGAGAGAGCTAAGCTCCGGGGATATCTTCAAGGAGGGAGATCAGGTCCCAGGCAGTCCTGTTCTGTGATGTGTGCAGGGATCTCTGCTCCAGGAGAGCCCTGTTCCCGAGGTCAAGGTAGTGTGGAAGGTACTTCATAGTTAGCAGGCAACCTGGGAGCCTATGAACACAGCTGCTGGATGCTGAGCTCAGAAAACTGGATGATTCTGGGAAAAGGACGGCTAGGCAGAGTAGGTGCTCAAGAAACGGTCAAGGAACTGAAGGAAACTTCCTCACCCTGCTACAGAGCAGACACACATCCCAGTGACCTAGAATCATCTGACAGGGTCCCTCTTCCTTGAACAATCCCAGAGAAACAAAAATTCTTACAGCTGCGTTTCACCTTTTATATTCACCTGGTTCTTGGCAGCCAGGTGAATCTGAAAACCAGCCCCTTACTAAATTTTCATGACCAGGAGCCATAAACTGGCTTGCAGAGCAAGAGGATTTTTTAAAGTTTTGTTTTGTTTTCATTTTTTTCAGTACTGGAGATTGAACTCTACCACTAGCATCTTTTTATTTTATTTCTCATTGAGTTGCTGAGGCTGGCCTTGAACTTGTATCCTCCTGCCTCAGTCTCTAGAGTAACTAGTCTTGTCATCACCCTCTCTCCAAGATCCTTCCATTCAAGTACGGAAGGATTACAAGTATGTACCACCATGCCTGGTAGGGAAGAGTTCTTTTTATGTGTGTGTGTGTGGTCCTGGAGATTGAACCCATGGCCTTGTGCATGTGAGGCAAGCACTCTACCAACTGAGCTATATCCCCAGCCCCCCAGGAAGAGTTTTTAAATTTTGAAATCTAAAAATATCCAAAAATTGGGAAATACTACATTAAGGTGCAAAGTTTCAGCTTCTACAGAAAGACTGGAACATGCAATGATTAAGGGCCCACATTGCCATCTGGCTTTGGCCCAGGGAGCAGCTGGCCCTTGGGGGAGAACTTGCTCTCTGGGTCTCCAGGGTCCCCTAACCCCTGTGAACTCTCCCCTGGCCTGCTCCACACAGGTCTGCCGCCTGATGCTCATGGGCACGGGTCTTGAGCCACTTCTGAGCATTGCTCAGTTCATCACTTTCCTCTGTCTGGTTCCTGCCCCAGTGACACATTCTGGACACTGAGGTTACACTTGGGCGTTTCCCAGCCTGCCACCCACAAAACATATACAAAACATCACTTAGGGTGAGTCACTGTGGCAGACATTTTTAACTGATTCTTGCTAATTTCATTTTTAAAAGGTACCTGTTTCCAAGTGGCAGTCCTTCTATAATATTGACACCTCCCAATTGGTCTGAGGGATTTAAGGACTCTGGGATCATAAAGAATTGTGCTTACAGCTCACCAGGGCAAGCTTAAACCAACTTTAGTTCATAGATGAACCATGGAATGCTCCATGTAGGAAGAGCTGGCCTTTGGTGAGCGCTCACTGGGAGCTGGGGCAGTCTAAGTAATCCCACCCCGTGCTCACACAGCAAGTCTCTTATCCCTGTTTTATAGTTGGGGAACCAGAGGCACAGAAGGCTGGGAAGTGATGGAGCCAGAATTAAGCCCAGCAGCCTGACTCAGAGGCCACCATCTCAGCCACCTCACACAGCGGCCTCTGATGCGAAGGCCCCTCACAAAAGCTCAGAAATTTCACAGACCTGCCTGAGTCTCACCGCGCCCTGGGAGCCCTAGAATAGCACCATGCTGCAGATTAGAATCATCTGGGGCTTTAAAAACCTATCCAGGCATGAAGGAAGAACCACAACTGGTTAACATTTGGGGACTCTAAATGGGTAAATGGGATCTCCTGGGACTATTTTTGCAACATTCCTGTAAGTCTGAAATTATGTCAAAATAAAAGATTAAAAGTAAAGTGACTAAATTAGAATACTACTAGTTAACCCGGAGGAATTTTCACAGCAATTGACTGTTGATAGCAAGGTCTGGGAAAAGTGTGCACAATGAGATCCTATTCTTATAAACAGTGACAAAATCCACTCCCCCTAACCCCCAGGCATATATCTTTTTATGAGGATGGAATAAAATATGTATGATATGTTCAAAGAATTCTGGAGCCCAGTTCTCAGAGGTTCTATTTGAGTTTCTTCAGGGGTAGGACCTGGGGATGGATATCCTCTTTTAAATTTCCATAGATCAGGGTTCTTAATTAGCATGTGCAAGATCCTGGTTTCCATTATCAGCCAGCACTAGCAAAAAAAAAAAGAACAAAAAGTTCTGATGCCCAGATCATAGCCCAGACCAACTGAATCAGATTTGCTGGCAGCAGAGGACAGGAATGGGTGTTTTAAAATCCCCCCACCCAGATTCTAATATGCGGCCAAGTTTGAGGACCAGGCAGGGCCCTCCAGGCAGCCAGGGTTGAGTGTTACTGCTAGGAAGAGGGGAACCCATGAGTGTAGCCTTACTAAGTGGTAGGCAGGGACTACTGTGCCAATCCTCCCAATGGCTAGTGAGGTGGGAACTGGGGAAACAGGCTGGCTCCAGGGGGCCCGTAACCTGCCAGAGGTCACAGAGCCAGGAAATAGTGGCACACATTCTGGACACACCTACAGGGATTCAAATTCCTCTAATGGGGATTCATTCCTTTGGATTCCTCCTCCTATGGGGTCTTAAGAACAGCAGTGAATGAGGTCCTGGATTCAATCCCCAGCACTTCAAAAAAAATAAACAACAACAAGAAGCAGCAAATGCTCCCCGGAAGAGCTGCATGTTCGTGGGCTCTTACTTTCCCAGCTAGTGCCTGATGTTTTGAAGGGGGATGTAAGAATGATGTTCTGCACGGGAGAAGAATATACTGTACAGGATACAAATCTGATCTTGTCATCACCCTCTCTCCAAGATCCTTCCATTCATCAGCCTCACTTGAGTCTTTAAAAACAGCAAGTGTCCTTCCCACATCTGGACCTGTCCTGCCTCGGGAACTTTCCCAGACAGAAATTTTGAATGTTTCACTTTCTTATGAGAGACAAGATCCTCATTCTCAGGCCTGAGA